GGGGGGGGGATACTGTGTTGGGGAGGGAGCGCACAGGACCCTTTTTGGAATGGCCCGAAATGACGCGGGTGGTGAGAATGAGCCATCATAAGACGCTCCTAGCGATGCCAGGAAAAGAGCATCCGCGCTGACCCTGCGTGTCCCGTGCGAACCGGCTCTGGGTTTGGACACTTTGAGATCGATGTGCGGGATCTCTTGCCTCCCGCTTCCCGAACCTCTCTGCCTTTCCAGCCAGGACCGGGTGGTTTGGGAAACAGCCCAATTTCCCGTCCATTCCGTCGTTGGCTCCCGCAGGTCCGCAGATGGGAGCGAGACGAGGCGACCCCGTCGAGGGGAGGCGTCCTCCAGGCCCAGACATTCATCTCCGTCCCTTTCAAGGCCCCGAGCCTGCGCCGTATATAACCAAGTACTGCGCCCACCACGGAGGACGCGGTGGCCTTTCTGCGTGTTTTATTCACGAATCTTGAGAAAAATCTGGCTCTGGGGCTGCGATCAAGATCCTGATGGGCGACTGGTTCAGAAACTGGAGCTGAGGCTTCGTTTGGCAGCGGAGAGAGGAGGGGAGCGGGGGTGCGGGCGCGGCTCTTGCGAGGATTACGGCGGAGGCCGTGGACCGCGGCGCGGCTCGCGGCGGCTGCAGCCATTGCCCAGCCGAGCATCCCACATTCAACAGGAGGAGCCCGCGGGAGAGGAGCTCCGAGCCCCCCGCGCCGCAGCCGCCGCAGCCCTCGCGCCCCGCGCCCTCGAGCGCCATGGCCAAGGAAGGCGTGGAGAAGGCGGAAGAGACGGAGCAGATGATCGAGAAGGAGCCCGGCAAGGAGCCGGCGGAGGGCGGCGGCGGCGCGCACCGACTCGGGGACGCCCAGGAGATGCGCGCCGTGGTGCTGGCCGGCTTCGGGGGGCTCAACAAGCTGCGGGTCACCAGGAAGGCCATGCCCGAGCCGCAGGACGGCGAGCTCAAGATCCGCGTCAAAGCCTGGTCCAGTATCCGTGCCTTTCTCGCTTTCTCTCTCTCTTCTCTCCTCTCTGCGCGCTCGGCGCTCCCGGGAGGAGGTGGCCGAGCCTCCGCGGAGACGCCGACCCCGGGGACCCCCGCCGCGGGCGCCCCCCTCCGCGCCCTGACCCCCGATCTCAGAGCCTCTCCGCGGCCAGCCGCGGCTGATGCTGGGGAGGATGCTGAGAGGTGGCTTTTCCTCTCCCCGAGCCAGACCTAGGAGGGGACCCGAGGAGTCCGCGGGCTCTCGGGAGGGGATCGAGGGCTGGGTGGTGGCGCCCAGCGCTCCCAGGTCTAGATGCTTGCGCTGTGGGGGAAGCTGCCGGGACGGGAGGCTTGATGGCAACATAGTTAAACATAATAACAATAACCGTCGGCTTATGGTGCACCAGCCTTGGTTTGGAGAGTTTTATGTGAGCGATCGTATTTAATACTTCCCTGGACCCAGTGAGTTAGGGACCGTCAGCATCCCCCGCTACAGGTGCGGGAACCGGGGCTCAGAGAGAGTGGTGTGCCCATCACCCTGCCACCGCTGAGTGCCATGGCCGGCATCTGGTCATAGGTCTTTGTAACCTCTACGTGACATCCTGATGGGGCTGGGGACAGGATGCAGGCTGGGGAAATGTGTCCTTCACTCCCCCGCTCCTGCACAGTCCCTCCTTGTGGGCTGGACTGGGGAAAGGAACTGGGAAGCATGGAGTTAGGTACCAAGCACCGAAGCCTTTTCTTCTGTGTTTCTCTGAAGAGGGGGGAAAAATACCCCAAACGTGATCAATCTTCCCTGACCTCCTGCTCCTGTCTTCCACGGAGCTCACCAACCTGACTGTCCTTGTCTTCCCCCACTCCTCCTCGGGGGACCCCCCCCCCCC